GGTAGAAGACACATTCGCTCACATTGTGCTTTAGTTAATCTATTTTCTCACTGGTTACTTCCTTCAAAAGCTTCAATTTCATTCAATTTGCCTTTAGTCCAGATCAGGCGTGCAACCATCCCAAGCTAGGGCTCGCTGATCGGCAGCGAACATGTTCGGTTACGAACGGTTTGGTGACTGAACACGTTCGGTCACCGAACTATCGGTTTGGTGCATGCCTAATTGGGACCTACAATTGAGTCCATACTTGTTGTTTTTATGCGATACAGAGAAATGAAATGTTGGTTCTGTAAGCTCACAGCCACGTTGTTGAGTGGCCACAAAATACTCTTCTTGTTTATCGAGTGACAAATTATAGCAGGAAATTCAATAGCTGAATAAAAAATAGTATTATACGAAGACTATCTTTCAGATGGTAGTGATGGTCGTCTTGATAGTCCCTAGTGGACCCATTCTGATAGTGGCGATAAGAGGTGGTGGTAATTACATTAGCAATTGTTGATGGTCATTTTCAAGTCGTTGTAAATGTTCATCTTTCACTTTCGTTTCCATTTCGGAATTCTTCATTCGATTTATTATACAAACTTGAGAAGCATGCATAGCCGTGAAGTTTTCTTGACCAAATGATTTTACATTGATCACAGTTTACTTCAATCAAATCACACTGCTGTTTATGTTCGTCAATGTTCTTCTTCAGTAAACATTCTTTTGCAGTGTGCTGATTCGAACGGGCAGTCGACCTCATGTTTTTGAATTTAATCATAATTCAAATGTTTTTCACATCTCATTTCTTTATGTACACATTGAAATTGGAGTTTCGATATAAAATGATAGCAGGATCGACATTCCTCATATTTGGAACAGCCAAATGGACAGCATGTTCTATTAGTTCCAGTCTTTTGTTATTTAATCCATTGTTGAGCGTGTCATGAACAAAATGCATTTTCACAGATTTTACAAACTACAGGTCGTTAAAGAACATTCGAACCGATTATATAAATGAGTTCTTGTGCAATACAATCACAGTTAACGATTAGTCGGGATGAAGCGAATCAATATTGTTGTATAACAGAAGAACATCTCCGCAGAATTATTTATAGACAGAATAATATATGAATGTACTCGGCACACGACAGCGCCAGTCTTACTAAAATTCATACTGCTGACAATCAGCAATTTTACTTTTCTCTGAACGAACAGAGAGAAAAGATATGTATTTGATTCTTTTTCTTCTCAACTAAGAGGAGAAAGCGGGGCGATAAAATGGAAGAAACGAGGAACCAAAACATTCTTCAGTGGTAGGATTTGAGGAGGAACCCTGTGCCGATCGCACTATATTATCTAACAATACGTGAAGAACACTTTCTTTTTTTTCGTGTTTATTAACTCTTTTCCAGCTTCTTTCTGCTCAATCAAAAGTAGGGATCCACATAAGGTCAGTAATCGCACCACTTCATCTTTTGCCTAAAAACGGTTCTGCAAGTAGTAGAAAAGTATTTTTATTCGATTTTAAGTAATTTCGTGTACTTTTGGTAACTAAAATCCAAGTCATTTGTCGTCAGTAGGATGCCAGTATCTCATCCCTCACAGATCAGCTATAAGTTGCGTAAAACGTGTATTTCTCATGTTTCTTTCTCGTAGATAACAAAGTAAATATATGGTTGGATAGCTCCTAAAATTCTCTACAGACTATGAATAAATATGTGTAAAATAACAGTTAATCGCAGTGTTTTGATAGCAGTAAGGTGGTTAGAATAATGCAACATGTACGCTATAGCAGACGATCCTCGTTTGTGTAGTCCTTTTTTCTATTATAAGAGAAAAAAAAATCATACATTTTTCTATTATTTTTTACATTTTGAAGCTTATAAAATTTGCTATAAACTGGCAAGTTCACAATTTCAAGATTGGTGGGACGAGTCCCTGGAAAATGGATCAGAAGTAAATCGACTAGGGAAAAATATGACATACTTTCAGTGTTTACTATTTCTCATACTGGTAAAGAAACATGTACATTTTGTATCATATACAATTTTAAATCTCGTCGAATTTCCTACAAACCGAGCTATGTTCGACATCTTGATCAGCAGGTTTAGCCTCTGTAATTTTGGGCGTGATATCAGTTTTACTGGGAGTTCCAAGCCTGGTGTCACATGACTTCGGATAACCTCTGAAGTAAATGAAAGCATAGTTTATCGACCATACTAAATCTCGTGGCAATATTATTTTTCAGGATAAAGTGGATAAACCCAGTGAAACTGAGTTTTGAGGAAAATACACTAATTTAGCTACAGCTATACAAAAATAAAATACTCCGATCTCCCTCAAAACCTTACCGAACCGCTTGGAATTCTCGGACTATGAGCAGACGAATAGACTGAATACTTACAATACAAAAACAACTCTGGACTAATATATTCTCTTACAATGAATTTCTGCTACTTCTATACAATATTTATTTTGTTGTCTACGCATATATAGTAACCTATAGCTATATCTTTGAGGGACAAGCAGAAGAAATTACTTAAAATCGAATAAAAATACTTTTCTACTACTTGCAGAACCGTTTTTAGGCAAAAGATGAAGTGGTGCGACTACTGACCTTATGCGGACCCCTCCTTTGTTATATAATCCATTGTAACGAAAATGAGAGTCTGATTTCTTGTTTTAGTGATGCTTGTGTGGTAAATACGCTTGGTGACCAGAAAAATGTTCATGATGGAATTGAAGAAATGTTTTTCAAACCGTTAGTACTAATAATTATTATATTTCGCTAGAACAAAAAGGAAAAATCCGAGTTGTTTGAAGTTAATTAATTATGATATTTCAGGTGGGGTCGGGTATCGAAGCTAGAGGGCACTTCAGAATAAAAAAAATCAAGTTTTTGCGACTAAAGAAGGTTTTGGTTTAATGTAGATCTAATTGTTTATCCAATACAGTGCTACTTATTCTTACAAATTATCCCAGAGCCCTTCAAAGTCAAAGATTTGAAAACTTCCATCAGGCAGATTATCTCTTTTCATCAAAAAAAGTTTCCGAGTTTAGATTAACCTCAGATCCTATATCGAAAAATGACAAATATCCCTTTCAAAGTGTCTTTCATATCAAATTCCTATCGATTTACAGTCTTTTTCCTTTTACTTTCTAGTTTCAATCCAGAGGATAAACGTACTGAGATCACATACAAAGTATTATCCGACCATAGTGTTCATCGGGTATCAAAAGGAATGGCACCAGTAATTTTAGATTTATGTACGCGAAATAAAACTCCTGAACAAATTGAACAATTGAATAACGATGTTGATGAATACGCTAAACGTGGTCTACGAGCTTTAGCTGTTGCTATGGAAGATGTGCCAAATGGTCAAGCAGAAGGAGAAGGAAATGGATTTCAACTCATTGGTTTACTACCTATTTATGATCCACCTCGCAGTGATACTAAAGAAACAATCGACCGAGCACTTGAATTAGGTACGTGGTTTCTTGTGTTTTGCCTTTTTAAAGCTCCTTAGTCTTAGATTGGAGACACTGTCGTCAGCCTCAGAAATGAGATATCTGGATTGTTTAGAAAACCACGAGCTTGAAAACATGTTGCTCTTCAATAGTTGTACCAATTCACAAAATATTTCGTTCTTGAGAACGTTTAGAGATTTAGCTTTGATACGAGTGAAGAGAGTGAAACTCTTTCAAAACCCCTTTTTAAAGGATAGTTCGGTTTAGGATAAAAGAGACATCTACCTTCTTCCCTTCTGTTTAATGTTAGATCTGACTCGGGATTGAAGTGACTAATTCAAATTTAGCGTGGTTTATGTCAGGTCATCGCTACAAAAGAGCACAAATACGTCTCAACACGCTTTCCTTTTTTTAACATTTTAGGAGTAAAGGTTAAAATGCTAACTGGTGATCAATTGCCAATAGCTAAAGAAACTGGTCGTCGTCTCGGTTTAGGTGATAATATGTTCTTATCTCAAACTCTAAAAGAAGGCTTACCTATAGAAAGTGATTATAAAGACATTGACGATTTGATTTTTCATGCTGATGGTTTTGCCGGTGTTTATCCTGAAGATAAATATCAAATTATTGAACGACTGCAAAATCTTGGACATATGGTTGCAATGACTGGTGATGGTGTGAACGATGCATCAGCTTTGTCCAAAGCTAATGTGGGTGTAGCTGTAGCTGACGCATCGGATGCCGCTCGGTCAGCAGCTGATATTGTTTTGACTGAACCTGGGTTGAGTGTTATTATTGACGCTATTTTGGGTTCACGACAAATATTTCAACGAATGAGAAACTATGCAATTTATACGTGTTCAGTGACAATTAGAGTTGTGGTCGGGTTTTCAGTTCTCGTGTTTGCATATAAACATGACTTTTGAATCGTTCAGATATTATATGATGTAAATGGAGGGGTGTTGGAGCAAGTCCGTAGACTCGATGGTTGTGCGAAACAGCGAGCCATCTGAATCTTTCGGCCACTTTAGTAAACTGCATTTTGTTAAAATCTGACATTGTCCAGGATACTATTGCTCTTACCGTGGGTTTTTCAAAAAGTGAGCTTTTCGGATAGTCAGAGTTTCCTTGCAATAAATCATTTTTAATGGTGAAGAATTTCATAATCGATAATAAGGCTAACATTACTTTATACATAGTGAAGTTAACTGTTTCACTTGAGACTATAGTTTCGTCTTTATTCAAAAAATATCATCAGTCAAATAATGATAAAACATTTTTCAAGCACAGAAAAAAAAAACGGGTCAATAGACTTATGTTAAAAAGAAAAATATTAAACGACTAATATTAGAAATCAATTTAGCATTAACATCATCGTCAGGTTTAATATTTATTTTTTTTTAAAATATAGTTAAGTATGCCTCTATTTTACAACAAGAAAACGATTTATTAGTCCAGATAGAAAAATATCTAAATAAGACACAAAAATATTACATTGATTTTCAATATTAGTCGTTTAATATTTTTCTTTTTAACATTTTTCGGTATACCGAAAAAAAACACATGTAAAGAACACAAACATGTAACTTAGTCCATTATTTAGTCATACATGACCGAGTTACCATGAAAGTTATCATTTTCAAGGCAGGACAGACCTTGTCATTTGTATTTGAAAGAACATTTCGCAAGACGTTGAATGACAACATATGACTGTTGTATGGTTGGACAAACAGCGAGGGCTGAAAAGCCAAAACAAGAGCATAAAGATGCTATTCGAGTTATTGGATTCTCAAGGATTGCTAACCATGGTCTTGCTAGTAGTCATAGAACAAACTGGAACCCTGAAATTCTTGCCTTTGAATCTCATGGAAACAAAAGAGAGTTGACTTATGGATATGCACAGTAAGAGAAAAATTAGGAATATTTATTCTCAAAAAACCTTTACTCTGAATATTCTTTAACGACGCGTCATATCTCGTACTAAATAGTGGACTAAGTTACATGTTTGTCAATAACATTGTTATTATTAAAGCGCAAAAAAAGAAATACGAACTTTAGTACAATTGCGGTTGAAATACACTTGGGCTTAAACTAAGTTAAGGGTATTTCAGCCGCAATTGCACTAAACTTCGTATTACATGCTTGTGTTCTTTACATGTGTTTTTTTTTCTGCGCCTGAAAAATATTTTGTCATCATTTGACTGATGATGTCTTTTGAATAAAGACGAAACTAGTCTCAAGTGAAACAGAACACTTTACAGATCTCCAAATAATCCAGTTCATAATCGGATGACAGCGAAATTGTTATTATCATCGTTATTAATCAATATCGGAGTCAACAATCATTTCATTTTCCTGATCGGATAAAAGTCGTATTGAAAAGTGTCTAATATCGGGTCGCTCAAACGTCGGTTGATGAGAAACGCATTAGTTCTATATAACATCAAACACAACGGAGTTTTTCAAAAAAATTTTCTTGCAGCTCTGATGTTCTCAAATGTCGACGACGAAAAGAATAGCAAATACTAGAAACCTCCTTCTTTTCATCTATCTCCAATGCGAGTTTTCCGGTTAAATGACTTGTGAAGGATCTGTCTTTGAGCTTTGAGAGTGAGCCCCTGTATTTTGAAAAATTTTTGAGTTTGAGCTGAACATATCTTAAGATAGCAACTGTGTCAAGTTCTAAAATCTATGGAAATTTCTAGAATTGGCAGAACTCGACAAATTCAATAACGACGACTGCTTAGATTCTCGTTAGATTTTGGTAGAACTCGAATCTGATCATGCCAGAATCGGTCAGTTCGTAGACAGCATGGAAACGTGCTGCGACTGGGCATTAGAATGAGAAGCGATTGTCTGAATTCAGCTAAATTCTAGAATTTCCAACGAATTATGGGACTTGATACCACTTGATAGAAAGTGCTCCCTCCACTATGAGACGCCTTCCAGAATTTTCTGATGACTTTTCATGACATAAACATTGTGGCACATGCGTAGAGAAAAGTGTTCTGTGTACAAAATGTGTTTTTCTCGCTGTATGCCTTTTCAATAGTAGCTTCAATCCAGTCACATTGCAAACCCTCCAAAGCATAATCCGACTGAACTGAAACAGATACTTTGGACCCTATCTCAAGTTCTAAATTTTTTTAAGTGTTTTTTTCCGCTTATATACGCTACAATGTAGTCTAATGCAGAGTAAAGTCTAAAATGAGACCACTTCCTGAGACCTCATAGTATAAATGAGTTATGAAGTTTTTTCTTCAAAGCATAAAAATCTCAATTTTTTAGTATCGTAAATTTTTCTCTCCTTTCCTATATATTTAAAGTTTTTTCTTATAACTAGTATGATAGGAGAAAGTGTGCTCTTCAAAGTAAAGACGTCTTCCAGAAGTTTTCCATGAATTTTCGTGGAGATATAAGCATCACGGTAAATGTCCTGAAAAACAAAGTCCTGTGCACAATATATGTTTTTCTCACTATACGTTTTCTTAGTAGTCCCTTCAATCCAGTCACATTACAATCCCTCAAAAAACTGGTCCAATCAAGCTCAAATTTTTACCACACACAGATCGCATCTCAGATTCTACATTGTGCTTTTAAGCGTTTTCAATTTCAACTTTTGGCGTGAGAAGGTTTTTAAAATCAAAAACCGGTTATTTATACAGGATTTTTCGAATATATCGAGAAGGAAAGCATATTTTTCGGGAAGAAAAATAGCGAACCTGAGATAGGGTCTACAGTATCTATAGTAGAATGTTGAGCTCGATCGGAGCATTTTTTCGAGGGGTCTTAATGTGATCTCATGAAACTACAATTTTCCAGAAAATCCCTGGAAAACATGTCAGAAAATTTTGGGCAAAATACCTCGATTTTCTTTTTCGATGTTCTATCTCTGGTATAATTTTCACACCGATCAAACAGGTTTTCAAGAGGGTCAAAAAAGAGGAAGGGAAAAGTATACCCTTAAGTACGATGTAGGAAGAGAAAGAGTTTTAAATTGATGTGCATGATACTTGAACAGTTTCTTTCCTCCATTTATGGTAGGTACAATCCCCTTTTTTTATTCTCCTCTCACCCATTCACTATAAAGCAATCTTTTTCCAGGTATTAATCTTAGCTTTACTGAATGATGGTACAATCATGACCATTTCAAAAGATCGTGTTATTCCATCACCCTATCCAACTCATTGGAATCTAAAGGAAATATTTACCTATGCTGTTGTCTACGGAATTTATTTGGCTTTATCTACAATAATATTTTTTCTCGTAGCTGTTGAAACAACATTTTTTCAAGAAAAATTTCATGTACAAACCTTTGGACGTTTATCAAACTATGGTGGACATAATGACCCGGTTCTACATTCAATTATCTATCTGCAAATATCAACCATAAGTCAAGCATTGATATTTATTACACGTTCACAAGGTCTATTTTTTACTGAACGCCCATCGATGATGTTAATTGCAGCATTCATTGTGGCACAGTTCACTGCAACATTTATCAGTGTTTATGCTGACTGGGGTTTTACAGAAATGAAAGGATGCGGGTGGACATGGGCCGGTAAGACAGCGGATGCTCTCATAATGTATCAAACGCTATTAGCTTTTCCTCACGCCAGTTTACATTGTAAGGATGTAGCAAGAGTGCAGAGATGCGTGGCCATTGCATGATCTGTAATCATTATTTTGATCGATATTTGCCCAGACGTGGAAAAACTCCCAGGCTCTTTTGTTAGTTTTGAGACATTTTATAGATCTGTCAACTTGAAATCTTGTGTGGAGAGCCGTCAGAACTATGGTCAACACAGGTATGACCAAGGACTAGGGAAAAGCCGAACTTCTTCAAAGGGCATTTAAGAAAAAGCGGAAAAATAAAACCATAGAGCTATTTCAATGACGACTAATTTAGTAAGGTTCAGATTTTTACCAAAAGCTGAAAATCAACTAAAACTTTCGTAATGCACATCAGTCGATTCAGATTTTGATCTTGATTTGAATATGATATTTTTATTTACTCAAAAGTAGAGTTCTGATAGAGAAAATTGAGAATTACGAGTTTTTCGCCCTGATTTAGAAAAAATGAATTTTCTCAGCAATGAAACAAAATTAGAGGACATGCATACATAACCTTTTAGAGGAACATAAGGCGGAGCTAACGGTGAAGAAATAAAGGCTCTATCTCTTTTCGTTCATGAGATAACGATTTTTAAACGAAAACGAGAAGTTTCCCTCATTCGATAGACCATCGGTTTTCACCTACTGATAATCAAGTTATAACTTTAGAAAAAACATTTTCTAAATCCATTTTTGATGAAGATTTGAAAATATTTTTTCTAGAAGTCCATCTTTGTTTGTCAAAAAAAATGCAGACTTTTTTCTCCCAAACGCTCTCGTTTTTGAACCTTCGTTTTTCTCAGTTTTTTGCCTTTTTGACCTGAAAAAAGAACTTTTTCCAAACAAATTATACATGGTTCGAATCACCACGTCGCGGCGCATCTATCCATATAATATATAAATATATAAATTGTACACTGCTAATTCTTGCCGAATTATAAACTGAAAAATACATACACCGTACGTACACTTTGAGAGCTGACCAAAACTTTTGTGACTGACTACAGTTGGTTTTGAAGCACAGCTTCACTTTACCAACGGGAAGCCGTCAAAACTATGAACGAATCAATCGGATCAGATGAATCATTCGGAAGCTCTTTCAGAATTGAGACTACTTTTCGGTTAAAAATTATTAATCGGATGATAAAAGTGGTCTCAATTCGAAATAGAAAAATTTAACAAGTTAGTCAAGCTAATTAAGGTTATATGTAACATATTATATATCGTAGTCTTAATTAGCATGGCTTATGTGTTAAAATTTTCTATTTCTTTTTCACTTTCTATACTAATCTGAAGTACATTATATCAATAGGTAGTACAAATTGTGTATTTCAGATTAGTATAGAAAGCGCAAAAGGGTCCTCACTAGTTATTTTAGTTTTGAGTCGCGAAGTGGACAGAAATTAGAATAAATTCACAGCTAAGGCATATTCCATAATTTTATCTTTTTCTTACTTTGTTCGTTAAAGAGAAAAATTGTTCTGTATGAATATCCTGTGCTTGTATAAGAAAAAAGAATCAGAATTAAGAATAGTATCATCAAATAGGATACAATAGAGTTTTCTCTTTTAGCGTATCTTTATCTTTTTTTGCTATCACAATGCAGATATCTGTGTGTCAGACATAAGGATACATACAGAAAGGAAAGCATAAAGAAGAAGATGAAGATGACAAAGAAAGCATGCAGATTATGCGTATCCTTTCCATATGTATCCTTATATCTGACATACAGATATCTGCATGGGACATCAAGAAAAGATAAAGATACCCTAAAAGAGAAAGGTCTAATAAAAACGGCATCTCTCTTTTTAAAGTCAAAGAGCAGAACAGTTGGAAAGATAGTACCTAGTTACTCCATATTCTGACACACGAACGAAGCAACTATCGTCCACGTTGAGGACTAGATGAAGAATTTGAACGGTGCAATAATTGGTCATCCCATATATTGGGTTTTCACAATATTATTGGGTATGGGGTCACTTGCGTTCGGCGTTACTTTACTTTTACAGTACAGACGCATACTTTATATCCCGTTTTGAATCAAAATATAATCCAATTAGGCAGGCACCAATTAATAATCAGTACCAGGGCATTCGACACAGTCGTTCCAACTCAGTTATAAAAATACTCTTAGAGCTGTCGAACGCCTCATTTTGTAGGACAATGTTTGAACCAAACTGAAGTGCTACAGAAATTTTAACGTTATATATCGAGAAAATACAATAAATCGAAAACGCACTATAATCATAGAAAAATAATCGCTAGTTGCGTTTTTCGCAATTTTGCTCACTTTTTGATGCTAATATCTCTGTCGCAGATAACACTAAAATGTCTTTTTGCACTGCAGTTTGGTAGAGCAAACATTTTTCTACAAAATGTGACATTCGGCAGCTCTAAGTGCGTTTTTAAAACTGGTTCGGAACGACTTTGCTGGATGCCCTTACATCGATTATTAATCGGTGCATGCCTAATCGCGATCGGGATCTGCTTGCTCACGTTTTTATGAAGGTAAATGATATTAAGATTAAAAAGTTGGAATCCAGTGTATTGCGAGGCCCAATATTACCTAATATTATTGTACAATATTACTGAGTGACTAATATTATGGGTCCCAATATATTGGGTATACAATAATATTGGGGTCCAATATTATTGAATAGGCAATAATATTCTACAATATCTTTAATAATTATTGGTATTGGTGTATGCCTAGCTGTATACCACGCAGTCGATTATACTGATTCCGAATATACAAAAATCTAAAGAAAAACCTAATTTTGATTTAATCTTATGTTGATATTTCATTTCTACCTTATTTCATTTTATGCGGTTATTCACTGAAAAAGTAAACTATGAACACACATTATCTCTGATTATCATGACCCGAAGAGAAAGCCGGAAAGTCATGGTGGTGAAAAAGCCCTCTCTAGTTAGTTTAATTTTAATTCGCGAAGTTCTTAGAATATAGGATGAGCACTGCTTCTTTTAGACATAATAACTGAATATCTAGATTGAAATCGAAAATGTTCTTTTCTCGTTTGATTGATGTTCACTTCTATTAGCGTGAAGAAGGAAGAAAGATCAAACAGATGGCTTTCTTTGAAGGTGGTAGGTGAACTAAGTTGTACTGTAGTATAGGCAAGCATGAACTCTTAAGACGAAGATCCTTGAGTATAAATCACAGTTGCCTTTGTAAGAGTTTTTCAGTGTATAACGTAATTGACTATTAATATCTAGACCTCCAAACCACTTTTCATTAGAAAATAATGGTCAAACTTTCATATGTTGTTTCTTTCCTTTTTGTTCCACAGCAGAGTTTAGCAGCATCATGAGTCTATTCTATCGTTAGTCTATATAATACCCCGTTTGATCTGATTGATTCGTTCATAGTTTTCACGGGTTCCCTAAGTCTGTGTCAGGATCTTTATTTGCCATAGATAGGACTTAATCATGGATGATTTCGACAAAAGCTGTTGAGCTTTTCATTCTCCTTTTCAAGGTATTGTCTGGATTTGGAATATTATTTGGTTTTTTCCTCTTGACATTCTTAAATTTGCTCTTCGCGCTTACTTTGTTCCAAAAAAAACGGAAAAAATCACGGACACCACCGAACCACAACTATCATCACCATCAGAACCACGAGAGAGAAAATCTTCTAAAGTTACTGCAGGTCTTCCGGGACCCTCAACAGCACAGTCCTCTGAAAGACAACAATTTCGTGTTCCATATAGACGTTCAGATTCCATCGCGTTGAGTTACTATGAACCACATATGCGTTCATGGTTAGATTCGTATCAACATCGAAATTTTACACGAA